TCACCGAGGCTTTGCCGTTTGGACATTGATTGACACGCATCCCGGTTTACTACGATTTGTCACGGTATGGATGCTGTATAGATACGGTGGTTTCCCGGCAATTCCCTGTTCCAGACGACAGAACACGGTTTTGGGATTCCTCCCGGTGAGTGCCGGTGAGCCCCGGTTGTATTTAACATTTAAATACAACCGTGGCCATCTTTCAGTTTACTTCACGGAATCGCAACGGCCCAACGCCGGTTTACCACGGTTGATCCCGGTTGACTAAACCGTGGCAAACCGGGACACCAAACCGGGACTGTGTAAATGGGGCTTAAACCGCCCGTTTATGACTGTATAACTATTAGCACTAGCAACAAAAAAGTCTTCAAATCAATGAAATGACTTAAAGCGGATTCTGATAGCGACAATATCATAATACCTTTAAAATGTTGCCAATCAGGGTTATAAATGAAAAAGGGAGACAAAAGAAAAATATTTATCTATTGAGAATTGAATTTCAATTGTATCTTTCTAGAATACGCTTTCTAGCGTCAAGATTACATTACATAGCAGCTCAAAACCTCGATATTTAGGTTCATAAAAGAAAACAATTAAAACAAAGATACTTTTTGTTAAATGGCAATTACAGTAAAAAAAATAACTATGAGAGCGTTAAAAAGTAAAATAATACTACTTTTAATCATGATTTTAACATGAATTTACGTCTTGCGACATTTAACGGCAGTGTTGCGACATTTAACGGTAGGGGAAATTCGTACGACATTTAACGTTAACATTGCGACATTTAGCGGCAAATGATTTTGGGACATTTAGCGGCGGTCGCGACATTTAGCGGCAATGGTGCGACATTTAGCGGTAAGTGCGACATTTAGCGGCGTTGCGACATATAACTGCGCCACAACGAACAACTGTTACTTTCGTCAATGTAACTCTGTTCCTGGAAATGGCCATCCAATTTATTTGATTCATTTCTCGATGCCCATGAGTTGCGCTATCAAGTTCGCTACAAGTTCCGTCGGTTTCTATGGTGTTCTGTTCGAGACAGTTAACATATCGCCTAGCTAGCTGTTACAATTTAGGATTGACCAAATCTCTTGTTTTCGCTCGACTATTCAAAAAATAGGGAAAACTATTGTAATTGTGAATTTTGACAGAACTTTCGCCCCTTTGAACTTAGAAATTTCTACATTATTCAGGCTCTTATTTTACTATCAAGCACTTAGAATAGTCGAGCGCACTGACTGTTGTTAATAGATAAGTAGCGAGATTTAACATTCTCTCTCGAAGAACTTTCACCATAAACACTTGTAAATTGCAATTAAGATACAGTTCTCGAAAGAAACATGCGAAAATTAAGGTTAATCATCGCGAAGATTTATACATTTTGATTCGCACGAGGATTAAAGTATGACAAATTCAACGATTACTGGCGCGAAAAGTTTCTTGCGAGAATGTAAAATCTTGCTACTTTATCTATAAAAATACAGAAAGGCGGGGCAAGACTTAAAAAAATGTCAATAGGAGTCCTTTAACTGGGCCTAACAGGCCACCGTATATTTCAACTGTATTAAATCCATGGGGGAAGTAAGTTAACGGTTATTTAAAAGTGTCTTCTTACAGACGTAAGAAGACACTTTTGAATAGATCTGCTGGGGGTATAGTCGTATAAATATATTAACTGTAAAGAGTGAGCGGTACAGGAAAAGTAAACAGTGTGCAGAAATTAAAACGCGCGAGCACGATGTTTCCGCTTAAATAAAACTATGGAAAGCAACAGCTGCCATTAACATATAATTTCAATCTGTGACCAGTACATTGTATTACGGTTGAAGTTAAAGCTTATAGTTACTAGTAGACATAGATCACGGATATCTGGTAGTAAGGAAGGCAAATGATTACTGAGGAACTACATGTATTTGTTACGAATGTTTGAAGTGTTGTATTTTTGGAAAGAAATGTAGGATAACAGATTGTAATGTAAAAGTAAGGAAATGAAGGATAGGTTATAGATCTAGCTTTTGATTGTCATTTGGGTGAGAATAGTTTTTGAAAAAATAAATGGTTTCTTAGAATACACAGTTTAGTATGATTTAAAAAATAAATTAAGATTGTTGTTTTGCATGGAATGTTTTTTTTTTATAGTTATTTTCCAATCATGAGGATAAGTATCCCGAGAAAAATTATATATTTACTTTAAGAATATTCAGATTTTATTTTGTAGCAATACACTAATAACCGCTCTGTACACGCTACATATTTGGTACATGTTACCTTCTAAACATTTAGTGGTATAATACAAATATTATTTGCATAAAACTGTATTATTATTGACGCCGGTTAATCCGGAAGTCAACTTGTTGGTTGTAAACAAATAGAGAGGCCTCAAATAGATCGAGTGATATAATATTGTTAAAATGTGTGTTAGAAAACCTAAATAAGTTAAAAGGTATTTTATATATTTCCTGTACATCTGTCCTTATCTTCTCTAGCTTTTTTCCTTGCTGCCATGCTATAATTGTAAAATTTTCACGATACGCTGATACGGGTGAGACTGAGAGTGGTGTGTGTGTATTTGCGTTTATTTATACTCGTCACCGGTTGCCCATATGGGCGAGTCCTCCAGAAGAGTATTAGCGAGCTCGACGAGCTGGCCCGAAGGGCCTGCTCGCAAAGCGAGCTTTACGGTAACGCGAGTACCTGCTAAGTGATGGTTTTGAAAACTTTCGTTCGAAGTACCGAATTGGACACATCGCAACCTTTCGAATTTAAAGATAACGATAAAAACTGAGGAATTCTGACTGAAAACGGATGTGTAGACTGGTCACCCGCGCACGTCTATGGGAACCATAATTGGACAGGAAACCAGAATAACGGAAGCTGTCGATAAAATATCGAACGGAAATGTAAAATGAAAATTGAAGGCGCCATTTTGTTTGAAAAATCTGATAAATTAAAACAATTTTTTGTCGAATTTTGTTGTGAAAACTATCTAGAATGAAAGAAAATGGTCTAACTAAGAAAATGAATCCGAACACCAATATCTTTTATTCAGTCGTTAACGCTGTACAGACGTTTAAAGTATTGTTTACGTGACGTCACAATGTAGCGCCAAACAGCACGTGCAAAACAAACAAATCAAGTACGCTATTTTAATGTCGCAAACGTTTTAAGTTTTACATTTATTTCACTTTTAATAATCTTTATTTCGCTTGAAAAATTATAGAGTGAAATAAAATAAACAAAGTTTTATCAACGTTTTCAAAACTCGTTATTCATTTAACGACAGGGGCGGAGCCATATTTAACACAGTATTAGTCATTTTATTTTTTTGGAGGATAGTGCACAGATACAGAAAGATGCCCCAATTCCAGAAGCTTCTCCTGGTTCTTTAGCGTGCCAAGTGTTTAAGCACCCATACACGGGACCTCGATTTAAAGTCTCATCCGAAAGACTGATTAGTCATTTTAGTTGGCCAGCCCAGGAATCGAACCCACAATGTCGAGATTACAAGTCTCGCGCTCTAACCGATTGAGCTATGCGGGCTAGCGATGAGAGTGGTTGTTCGGAGAACTGATCTTATATAATAAAACCCCCTTATAAAACAGGTAGTGGTTTCGGCCATAGGTGTTTGGCGCGTTGATTGGTAAATATATTATTAATATATCCTTGATTGATGTATATTAGCGGTATTAGGCACATTTGTGAGAAATAATGTGGAAAAAAGATATATAATAAATTATACACATAATGTTTGCTTACAATTGGCCTTTTTCAATTTCAAGTCAGTTCAAGTTTCACCAACTTACACTCGTATTTGTCAGTGGTAACTTTAAATAATAAGCGTCTGTCATGACCGCCGCCATATTGGAACTGTATGTTAATTCGCGGACGACTACAAATACGTCATTGTAGGTCAAATCAGTGCACATGACAAAAATTCCAGTCACTTTAAACTGAGAAAATATCAATTTTTCAGAATAATGTTGATATTTTATATCTATTTCTTATTTGAAGTTTAATTTTGTAAACATGTAAGAAGTAGTAAAAAAACTAAAACAGCCGAAAAATTCGATTTTCACCTCCCCATATGACCCTCATTTCCGTCAAAAGATTTAAGTAGGTCAAGTGCTTGCACATTGTAATCTAAACATGTGATTACATCTTAAAGTTTGATGATGACATAAAAGTTATTATGTCAATTATATTTTGGTCAAATAGGCTTAAAGTTAGACCTAATTAATTTTTAAATGAAGGAAATGACACTTTTTGCGTTAGCTGATATGGGTATCCAATATCGGTCAGTAAATATATTCATAGCCTCGGTTTGGGGAAAAAAGCATGGCCGACTGACCTTCACATCTTGAAGAAATTTCCGGAAGACAAACTTTTCTAAGTAAATAGAAATGGATTACTTATATGGTAGATATTTGGGCATAAGTAAAATCATGTTTTTTTATACTTATTAGAAAATAAACAATAAACTGCCCATTTTTGTGTGATTTGTGATGGTTTGATACACGAAACATATGTAGACACATTTTGCGAGAAATATTACGTCATTGTCGGGCAGGTGCGACGAGATTTTACGAGATTATCCAAGTGTAAACAAAATCCGCGAATTTATATACACCGCGATTTTACATACATCGACGATATATATTAATTTACTAAATATATTATATATCATTTTTTTTATTTTTTGTGGGAGATGAAGGTTATTGAATTTAAAGCATGTACCAATTATTAAAACATGTTTAAAATGAAAAATACTGCAGTTTACATGGTTTTGAGAGGTAGGAGGGTTGTAGAGTGGGTGGAGGGGGGGTTGGCCCGGGGGTAGTGACCAATCAACGCGCTGAACACCTACTACTTATTATCTACTTTTTTGGGTATATATTGTAGAATTTGTTTAATTTTCATTTTCAGTTGTCTTTGTTCTCTATATTTTCACATAATTTACTTGACTTACATCAGCTTATTTCTTTCTTATCTTTCAGAAATTTTGTCTACAAAGAGAACAGAAAATATTGAAATACATTTCATATTAATTTCGTAAAAAATTGACGGTTCAGTATTCAGAAAAGATCAAAATATTCAACATGGCTGGAAGGTTTCTGGTAAGTTGTATTTTTCTCAGATATGATAATATGATAAATATATCAAGTGTGTAATTTACATAGAATTTAAAGTCAGAAATTAGCACGAGGCATTGCACTTGTATGTATTCTGCAAAATTATATTCCCCAGTGCACATCATCTTTTACAGAAAATTTATGACATTTAGGTATATTATTATTATATCTTAACATGTATTTCATTTGGTGCAAGTACATTGATAATCTCAATTATTTATAAAATATTTTTGACATCACTTGTATTGATAAACACATTTGTTATCATAATTGTTCAATAATCATATGTCAATATAGCAAACTGACATAGGATAAATTAATTGTTCAATAATCATATGTCAATATAGCAAACTGACATAGGATAAATTAATTGTTCAATAATCATATATGTCAATATAGCAAACTGACATAGGATAAATTAATTGTTCCATAATCATATGTCAATATAGCAAACTGACATAGGATAAATTAATTGTTCAATAATCATATGTCAATATAGCAAACTGACATAGGATAAATTAATTGTTCAATAATCATATGTCAATATAGCAAACTGACATAGGATAAATTAATTGTTCAATAATCATATATGTCAATATAGCAAACTGACATAGGATAAATTAATTGTTCAATAATCATATGTCAATATAGCAAACTGACATAGGATAAATTAATTGTTCAATAATCATATATGTCAATATAGCAAACTGACATAGGATAAATTAATTGTTCAATAATCATATGTCAATATAGCAAACTGACATAGGATAAATTAATTGTTCAATAATCATATGTCAATATAGCAAACTGACATAGGATAAATTAATTGTTCAATAATCATATGTCAATATAGCAAACTGACATAGGATAAATTAATTGTTCAATAATCATATGTCAATATAGCAAACTGAAATAGGATAAACACATTTGTTATCATAATTGTTCAATAATCATATGTCAATATAGCAAACTGACATAGGATAAACACATTTGTTATCATAATTGTTCAATAATCATATGTCAATATAGCAAACTGACATAGGATAAACACATTTGTTATCATAATTGTTCAATAATCATATGTCAATATAGCAAACTGACATAGGATAAACACATTTGTTATCATAATTGTTCAATAATCATATGTCAATATAGCAAACTGACATAGGATAAATTAATTGTTCAATAATCATATGTCAATATAGCAAACTGACATAGGATAAATTAAGGAGTTTGATACAAGATAACCCTCCATAAAAATTAAACATATTGTTTATTACATGCAGGAAAAAAATAGAAAAAATTGTATAGCTTTAAACAATTTTGAACTTAGTTAATTACATTAGCCAAATACTATAGCCAATAGCCAGGGTCGCTGGGTGTTATCGCATGTCTTGAGAACTTGTAATAAGTATGTTAATATTCCCTTCTCAGTTGATCTATTGTTTCACCTTTAAAGCCAAATTAAAGGTAAAGGTCATTGAAAGATTCATAATTCATCAGGGCCTCAAATGACAGTCAGCAGTAAACCTGAAAACATATTCTATTCTACAGCCGAAATAACAATGATTCCAAAATCACTGACAGTTTATAAGCCTTGTTGTAAGCCAGGATTATTTATATAATTTATGTGAATAATATCCGTACTCGGGTCATATGTCATTACTTGTCTTTTTCATCTGAACCCTTGCGAAAATTTCCTATATTTTTTCCCCTTTTTCTTTGATTTTCTAAATCTTTATCAAATGTTTCAAGTTGAATTTATGATTGTACATTTAGAATTTATTTACTTGATGTTATGTTAATAGTACGACTTATCAAAAATGGCAGAATATTTGTACATGACAATAGATATTTTCTGTACGAAATCTGCTGTGGTCATAGTATTATTTTTACAATAGCTTTAGCTCTTACATTTGGTTTACTATTGCTGATCATGGTCATGCAACTACATAGTTAGGTAAAGAAGCAGACGCTTGTTTTGGTTGAGTCTATTATGTTTTGTTTAGGGGGTGAGTTGTCATACACAAATATACAATTTATATGCATTTATTTTTTTCCAATGATTGTTATTATCTCAAATGCTTCTGGGATTGTTGTTTTATCAATTCATTTGTAAATAAGATTGTTATATGTCTATTAACGGAATAATTTTAATGAACACGATATTAGTTCACGCCTTTATGTGTATTGATAACGTGATGGTTTAAGCCAATGAAAACACATCAATATTATTACAATCAGGCAGAGAAAAGGTTTGCAAAGAGTAAATCGATAATCTTTATACGTGTAGCAAACAAACTTAGTATTGCAAGTATTTTTAGTCCCCTACCGGTTTAACCGGAGGGGACTTTAGGTTTACCCTCCGTCCGTCTGTCTGTCCGTCTGTCCGTCTGTCAGTCTGTCAGTCCGTCAGTCCGTCCGTCCACAAAACTGGATCCTGTGATAACGCAAAAAGTACTGAAAATATTTTTATGAAACTTGATATATGGATAGATGGCAGTAGGGAGATTATGCACGTCTTTTTTTTTTCTTCCTATGTTGAAAATTCTGGTTGCTATGGCAACAAATAGTCTGAAAATATGGCAAATTTAACACATAGACTGGATCCAGTGATAACTCAAAAAGTACTGAAAATATTTTTATGAAACTTGAAATATGGGTAGATGGCAGCCTGGAGATTATGCACATCTTTTTCTTTTCTTCCTATGTTGAAAATTCTGGTTGCTATGGCAACAAATAGCCTGAATTTCAAGATTTCTGATTTAAATTTTTCAGCTTTTTCACTATATGTTCTTTATTTCTTAAGGTGTTTACTTCAAACTTTAAATATAAGTTTCTGGTCATCAACCACATCATATGTGACAAGGTTTATAACTCTAGCACAAAAAATATCAGTATTACCTCCCTTGAACTTAGATTTTTTAGGGGAAAAAAATGTTGTTTTTTTAAATAACTTCTTTATTTCCTAATGTATCTACTTCAAACTTCATATATATGTTTCTTATTATCACTCGACATTTTTGAGAAGGTTAAATACTCCAGCAAGACTATTTCCAGAATTATGTCCCCCTTGAACTTAGATTTTTTTCGAGAAACTGGTATTTTCACTTCAACTTCTTCATTCCTTATAGGATTTACTTTAAAATCCCACATCGTAATAATATGACAAGGTTGTATAAACATAATTTATAATATTATTATAAATGGCAATACACAGGAGTGTATGACAATTAAAGAACTTTTTGAGGGACCGGTAGGGGACTACTGTATTGCCCGCAATACTATCAAATGCTTGTTTTCATATCTTTTGTGGCAGGATAAACTGTCCGAGGAGGGCCAGGCATTTTCGTATCGTAAAATGGCTGCCATTAACAGTATCAAGTGATTATCCCAAGCACATACGCAACCTAGGGCGGGAATTATAAATATAGCTAACCTCGGCGCATCGCATAGGATGGAAAATACCTTTTTCATATTTTATTGTAATAAAAATTTACCGGTCTTTCGTTTTTTTTTTATCAATATATAACCAATAATGATGTTAATATGAATAAATGATCATATCTCAAATCTGTGACTATGACTTACAATGAAATTCTACCTTTAGTGTATTAAAAAGGTTTATAATTTCCTGTAATTTTATCCTGTGATTATGCTTCAAAGCAGTGAATTGACCGTGAATTTTCTTTTCATATTTTGATTTCCTTGAAATCATTTTTCTCATCTGAAGGCATGCAACTTTAATATGATGATACATTAATTACATTCCATGAAAATGTTTAAAGATATAAAATATCTCATGACATGTTTGTTCATTTTACATTACACTTTTATTGAGCAAACATAAAAAGTCTTCACAAAAAGTAGTATGCAATCGTACCTATATTACATACGAATGTATGTAATATTTTTCTGGTTATTTTAATATTGTACTCTAATACAGCTTCGACTGGCAATGCCATCCATTTATATTATAGAGAGTGTTCAGACATAAAAATATATCAAACTTTTAACATCTTCACACTGTACTGATCACATTGATGATACTATTATTTTTCTCTTTAGACTTTATCTTATTAGTGAGACTTTATTTTATAAGTGAGACTATATTTTATTAGTCAGACTTTATTTTTGTAGTGAGACTGTATTTTATTATAGAGACTTTATTTTATTATAGAGACTTTATTTTATCAGTGAGACAATATTTTATTAGTGAGACTATATTTTAGAAGTGAGACTATTTTTTAAAAGTAAGACTAGATTCATTAGTGATACTATATTTTAGAAATGAGACTATATTTTATTAGTGAGACTATATTTTTTATTAGTGAGACTTTATTTTATTATAGAGACTTTATTTTATTATAGAGACTTTATTTTATCAGTGAGACAATATTTTAGAAGTGAGACTATATTTTATAAGTGAGACTATTTTTTATTAGTAAGACTATATTTTATTAGTGATACTATATTTTAAAAATGAGACTATATTTTATTAGTGAGACTATATTTTTTATTAGTGAGACTTTATTTTATTATAGAGACTTTATTTTATTATAGAGACTTTATTTTATTAGTGAGACTATATTTTATTAGTGAGACTATATTTTAGAAGTGAGACTATATTTAGAAGTGAGACTATATTTTATTAGTGAGACTATTTTTTAGAAGTGAGACTGTTTTTTATTGGTGAGACTATATTTTAGAAATGTGAATATATTTTAAAATTCAAACTATATTTTAGAAGTGACACTATTTTGAATGAGTAAGAATTGAAAATTATCAATTTGCTAAGTACTTAACTATCTGCTCAAACGATAGTAAGTGTGTAATCAAAATGAGAAATAGAATGATTAAAAATAAGGGACAAATAAGTATTTGATTGGTTACATGAAAGCACTTCAGTTATCTAAAGTCTGATTAAGTCTGTCATCATGTATATTATGTATATTATGAATATCAATTAAAGACATGTCATTTGA